ACCACTTTAAAGGTTTACCCAACAACTTTCGTTCCTAGAACCCAGGACATTTGAAAAGTGTCCTTAGCGTCATTTAGATGCCAAACGCATCATTTAAATAATTGAAATTTCGGTCAAGAAACCTGAACACTTTTACATTTTTGAAATGAGAAGTTCACACATTTTAAATACGTCTCCATTTCAGGTAATTCTTGGCGGTGGCCGCATGTACATGACACCCAAGGGTACCCCTGATCCAGAATACCCCTCTTCATCTTCTCGCAAAGGGGATCGCAAAGACAAAAAGAACCTCATTGATGTCTGGTTGAATGCTCGTAAGGTATCTCCAAGAAATCCATTCATTGCGGCACTAATTGTGTTTGTAAACAACCGCTACAGTTTTACGTGATTATCTGTTTTGTTTATTAGGGAAGAAACGCCCAGTATGTCTGGAACAAAGAGCAGCTTAATGCAGTGAATGTTAAAACAACAGACTGCCTGATGGGTAATGCCAGTTTACAAGGTTTCCACATTGACTTACTGACAGTATCTGTCTGCTGATATGACGCTCTCATTCATATTTCTCATTCAGGTCTCTTTGAACCCAAGGACATGAAGTTTGAAGTGTTCAGGAATCGCACCCGTGACCCCTCTATTGTGGACATGACAGAGAAAGCCATTCAAATCCTCAGCAAGAATCCCAAAGGGTTTTTTCTCTTTGTGGAAGATGAGTATTTAACATTTACTCTGGTGTTACAGTTCAAAGATATTCTGCCAATAGTGAAACATGCCTTTCTTTGTGCTTTACGAGGTAGAATAGACCATGGACACCACGATGGGGTTGCCAAGCTTGCTCTGACCGAAACCATCATGTTTGACCGTGCAGTCCAGGGAGCATCTAAGCTGACCAGTGAACTGGACACTCTCACTGTTGTCACTGCAGATCATTCCCATGTCTTCACTTTTGGTGGAAATACCCCCCGAGGCAACCCTATTTTTGGTATATACTAGCTTACTTTACGCCATGGAATTGAAATAATAACAATGTAATTTCTGTCATCAGAACTCTCTGAAAGTTTTAGCATGGAAATATACATGGCAGTGTTAATGTGTTTGGTCTTGGCGGAATAGATCTGCAAGTATTTGCTTCTGCCAATACATCCACAGACAAGCTGCTGTGAGCATGTAAGAAATACTGCTGCTGCACATATAACGTATATATATATGAAATAACCCCCATATATAACATACATGATCACAGGTGGACCTGGGGATGTGAGAGTTATTGAGCAGCAGCTTATTGGCTCATCAAGCAGCTAATCAGCTGCGCCATATGAATAATGAAGTAGTGTAGATCCTCCCTATATTTCTTTTTTTTTGTGCTTTCAGTCTTCAGTTAACAATCTTACTTAACCTTAGCATAACGCTAACCGGTTAAGCTCTTTTGATTATCTAGAACAAGAACACCGAAAGTCATTAAAAAAGTAAAAGAGTAAACAGCTACCATTTTTACTTTGACTAATTTGATCTTATAAAAGAATGTTAAATATGCATTTTGAGCTGACAAACTTGATGTTTCCCTTGCAAGTACACATGTAGTGTACTTCAAACCTTAAAAGTGTGTTTAAAAAAACTGTACTTGCAGATAATATAATATTAATGAAATAAAAGCCACTTAAGTGTACTTCAGGATTCTGTTAACACACTTAAGTACACTTTTAAAAAGAGCACTTTGTATTAATGTCAAATTAAAAGTTACAGTACCCCCCCCCCAAAAAAAAATGGGAGTATACACTACATTGGCAGTGCACTAGTATTGCACTGCATAGCCATTGTTTCAGTGCTTTTTTTTCCCAGGTCTGGCACCCAAGAAGGCTGAGGATAATCTTCCATACACTAGTATCTTGTATGCTAATGGACCAGGATATGCTCATGTAAACGGAACAAGAGGAAATGTTACAAAAGTGGATTATTGTAAGTATTGCCTAAATTAATTTACTACCTGTCTCTTCTATTGTTGTCAAACACTAATACCATATCTTACTTTATTTGTAGTTGATGAAGAGTACATGCAACAAGCGGCTGTTCCTTTAGAATCAGAGACACATGGAGGTGAAGATGTGGCTATCTATGCAAAAGGCCCGATGGCTCATCTCTTTCATGGAGTCAAAGAACAGAATTATGTGGCCCATGCGATGGCTTATGCAGCGTGTCTGGAGCCATACACTAACTGTCCACTGCGTCTTCATGGCTCAGGAGGCTGTAAAATAACTCTTTCAATGCCTCTTATCTCAATAACAAGTGTGTTTTGGCTTGTCATGAGATGACAGACTCTACTGCACGAGTGATTGAGGCCCCAGGACTCTTTGGGGCTTTTTGGAGATTTATAACCCAAATAGTTTATATTGCAATTTGGTGCTCCGCAGAATTGCAATGCTGTGTATATAAATGTAAAGGTTTTTTTCATGGATGTATTTTATAATCAGATATTTTTGTATATATTGCGCAATGGACGACTCTTTTGCACTGTGACGATAAATTTCAATCATGTGAGACCAATAAACTTTCTTAAAAAAGTAATATTGTCAGTGATATCAGCCTTTGTGATTAAATGTTCTGTGGCCATCAGATATCGAAAGCAATTATATATCCATTACTGTACGAATGGTTAGAAAACGAGACGTTAAGTCATGATAAATATCTATCTTATACATTTGATTTAAATACAGTTCCACTGGCTATTTTGCATGCAGGGAATGCATGAACTGATAAACATAGAATGCAATGCAATTTACATTGTTTAAAAGCATCTGCCAAATCCGTAAATTTCAATATTGTTGTGCGTTTTTAGACATGGACCGTTAGCAAGGCAGATGAATCAAAATTTTGCACACTATATTTACTTATATTTACAGATGATCTTGTTGATTAACTGAAATGAATTAATCAGGGCTTCTTTTGAACAGACCAGAACAGTGTAAAATAATAGAAAAGTGCAGTATAGTACAGTTCATTTTAGCAAAGAACAGGACAATTCAGTAAAGAACAGTTCAGAACAGAAGCGCGGATGGTTTTGATAATTTAGTTCAGTGCAGATCAATTAATTCCAGAACAGTTCAGAACAGAACAGTTCAGTGCAAAACAGAACAATTCAGTAAAAAAACTGGAGTACAGAGCAGTTGAAAAAAGAGTTTAGTTTAGTTTAGACTAGTATAGTTCCATTCAGAAGAGCAGTATTCAGTTAAGAAATGTATATTGTACTAAAAAAAACAATCAGTATAAAACACAGTAAAGAAAAGCAAGAAGTTCATTGCAGTTTACAGTAACAGTTGTAATGGTACATTTCAGAACAATTCAGTGAGGAACAGAACAGTTCAGCATAGAACAGAACCATTCAGAACAAAAACAGCACGGTACAGAACAGTTCATAACAGAAAAGCACAGGATGGTTTAAATTTGTAGAGTTTCATCATTTAGTTCATGATCAACAGTTCAGAAGAGAACAGAACAGTTTAAAGAGCAGAACAAGAACAGCTTAGACTAGTACACAGTACTCAAATTAATCATTCAGTTACATGAACAGTTCAGGACAGAACAGATTAGAATAGTTCAGTGCAGAAAGAACAATTCAGTAAAGAATAGTATAACAGTTTAAACAACAGAACAGTTTAACTCAGTATGGTTCAACTCATTCAGTTCCGTAAAGAACTGTACACTGAAGAAAAGAACAGTTTAGTGAAAAAAAATCAGTTAAGTAACATGCTATAGTAATACAGTATAGTACAGTGCAGAACAGCACAGTTCACTGAGGAACAGTACAATTAAGTAAAGAACAGAACAGTGAAGTGCAGTTCAGCAGAGAACAAACAATTCATGAAAGAAGAGAATAGAACAGTTCAGTAAAAATAAGTTTAAATCGGTAGAATTTATTCAGTCAGTTTGGTGAAGATCAGTTCACTACAGAACAGTTCAGAAACGTACAGAATAGAACAGTTCAGTAAAGAACAGGAAAAAGCATAGAACTGTTTAGACCAGAATAGTATTGTACTGTATATTATTGTAAAGAACAATTCAGTTGAGTAAAAAAAAAATTAACAGTACTAAACAGGTCGGTAAAGAACAGTGCAGTGCAGAGAAGTTCAGTGCAGAACAGTGCAATTCACTGAAGAACAGTACCACTCAGGATAATTCAGTAAGGAACAACGAGGTGCAGTTCAGCACAGAACAAAACAATCCAGAAAAGAACAGCATGGTGCAGAGCAGTTCAAAAGAGAAAGGCAAAGAACGGTTTAAAATCAGTAGAGTTTAATCGTTCAGTTCAGTGCATATCAGTTAATTCGAGAACAGTTCAGAACCGAATAGAACAGTTCAGCGAAGAACAGAATAGTGCACTTGCTGCAGTTCAGTAAATAACAGAACACAACAATTCAGTAAACAACTGTTCGGAAGAGAAAAGCACAGACAGAGTTTAATAATTCTGTTCAGTGCAGATAAGTTAATTCCTAAACAGAACAGTTCAGTAAAGAACAGAGTAGGCGCAGAACAGTTTAGATTAATATAGTACTGAACTTAATCATTCACTTTAGTGCAGATCAGTTAATTCCAGAACAGTTCAGAACAGAACAGTGCAAAACAGAGAAATTCAGTAAATAGGATGGCACACAACAGTTTAGACCAGTAATACAATGCGCTTAGTTACTAACGGTATATTTCAGTAAACAACAGTTCAGTACGGAACAGTTCAGTAATGAATATAAAAAAAGAGCAGTTTAGCGCAGAAAAGCACAATTCACTAAAGAACAGCACAGGTTAGGAAAAGTCACAGAACAGTACAGTAATTCATTCACATCAATATTCATATAATTATATATCCATATCACATCATATGGTCACGAATGATCAGTACGTGATCAAAAGCTCATGTTTCAAAAAAGGGAATAAGAACTACAAATGACCTTTGGTCTGAAAGAAGACTATAAACAGGAGGGCATCAAATAGTTTTACAGAGCTGTCAGTGCTGCTGCAGTCGCTCAAACCATGGCCACACAACAGACCCTTCTGATTATTGGAATATTTGTTTTAGCAGGATTTGATGGATGTTTCTCTGTTATTCCTGGTAAGTGCTATTCCACAGTTCGAAATTATTCTTTTTCTCTCCAGACAAATAGAATGAAACAATGTTTCTTTTCTGGAATCAATTTGAAGAGGAGGAGCAGCACCCAAACTTTTGGTATGTTAAGGGTAAAGAGGCTCTTCATACAGCGCTCTCCATGAAGCCCAACCTGCACCGTGCTAAAAATCTCATTCTCTTCCTCGGAGATGGTGAGTTAAATAGAAACTAAATAGAATTTTCTAGAATTCCTTGTTTTTGCATTGTTCTGTTTAATAATCTAGTATGTATTGCACAATTTTAGCCACAAATTAGCCTTCTAGACATTTCTAGATTTTGTCAAAATTGATTTGCCATTACAATAAATCTTAAATAAATTAAACTGATGAACTTATGACAGTGTCTGAATTTTGGGTTGCAGTTCTGCAATGTAAAGGTCTGTTTACATCAAGAACGATATCTATAAAGATAAATATAATGATAATCCACACTCACATCCACACTCACAGACAATAATGTTTGTGCATGCTGCAATTATGTCGTCTGCGACTTTAAATGCTCAAGCTCTTTAAAGTCAGGTGGATTCTGATTGGCTGTCAGTGTTTTCATAGTTTATCTCCTGGAATAAAAATAATTCCGAGAGTGATTTCAACCATTGTTTTTATTGTTAACTAAAGCTAAAACTATTAACAATCGTGTTTCATAATTGAAATGAGGCTGTAATAAAATTATTAGATTAATTAAAATCAATTGATTCATTTACACACACACACAAAAGAAAAATTAGACTGTTGTAACACTGTTATAAAGGTGACACACTGTTATTACATATTACGCAAGTGACCAAAGTCCTAACAAACATATCACAAAATCTGATAGAAATTACAGTTGACGTTGCATAGTTTGCCTGGTCTTTTACCCAAGATCTCAGTAAGGTCACATGGTACAATTTTACATATAAGAGTCATAAAGGACAGAAAGAAAAAAAAACCTGCACAGTGGCTTTAGATTAGATATTCAAATTGTTTACTGCAAGATCGCTTAATCAGTTGTACATGTTAAAGTTATCAAATGTTATAAAACTTATCAATAGATAAGATAAGAGATAAGAAAGTAGTCTTTTTACCTCAGAATTAGACTTTGTAAATCACAATTTGTGAGCTTATATCTCACAACTCTGAGAATAGAAATTGGGATTGAGAGAAAAAAAGTCCGAATCGTGAGATATAATCTCGAAAATGTAAGAAAAAACTCAAAATTGCGTGTTTATATCTTGCAATTCAGACTTTTGTTTCTTGCAACTGGGAGTTTATCATGCAATCCTGAGAAAAACGTCTGAATTGCTAGATGTAAACTTGCAGTTGTTAGAAAAAAAGTCAGAGTTGGAAGACAAAAAGTTGCAATTATCCTTTTCATTTTGTATTCAGTGGCGGAAACATGCTTCCATAGCAAACTCAGAACTTATTGATATATGTTTATGAATACAGTATGTCTTGTGTACTTGAGTGCCTTAAAGTTGTGCAACGTGTTCTTTTTGACATACAATAAGGCATGGGAATCAGCACTGTGACCGCAGCAAGAATTATGAAGGGACAGATGGAAGGGAAGACAGGAGAGGAGAGTGTCCTAGCCATGGACACATTCCCTCATCTCGCTCTCTCCAAGGTGAAGAAAAGTCACTGGCTAGATTGATTCATAATTGACTGATAGATCCGAATACTCTTAATAACACTGGTGTTTGTTTTTGTCCCTGTGTAGACCTACAACGTCGATCAGCAGATGCCTGACAGCGCAGCAACAGCCACTGCATATCTCTGCGGTGTGAAGGCAAACTATGGGACTCTGGGTCTCAGTGCAGCTGCACGCCGCAAAGACTGCAGCTCTGTTAAAGGCAATGAGGTCAAATCAATTCTGCATCAGGCAAAGATGGCAGGTAATGGCAGGGAAGACCAAATACCAGGACAGTTAACCCATTAATGCAGTGATTTTTCACTCAGATGTTCAGAGTTAAGCAGATGTTCAGTTCCGAGCTGTCTCATAGTTAACCATATGAACATATTGTGCAATTCTTTTGAAATCTGAAATGTATTTTGCATGTAAAGATGATTTCAAAACTGCAGAATTAGGGACTGGGGGATACATATGGAATACACATATATTTAAAGAGAAGAAAATAAAACTTGTGATTTTATATCTTACAATTTCAACTTCAGTTCTGTAATTCTTACAATAGTGACTTTATGTCTTCATATTTCACAACGTGACTTTATATTGTGATTCTATTTGCGACTATTTCTCATTAGAACTTTATGCCTCGCAATTACGACTTTATTTCTCATCATTGCGACTTTATCATAACTTCAACTTTATTTCACACAATCTGAACCCTTATATGATGTAATTTCATCTTTTTTTCACGTAACTGTGAAAATATCTCAAAACAGCAACATTGTTTCTTATAATTGAGACTTTATATATTACAATTTCGACTTAATTTCAACTTTTTCGTTATTGGCGCATTCTCACAAACCTCTATTATCTCATAATTCCAACTTTATTTCTTATGATTCTTACAATTGTGACTATTTCTTTATATTTCGCAATGTCCCTTTATATAGCAGTTGTGACTATTTCTCATCATTACTCAACTTTATACCTCACAATTGCGACTTTATCACAGTTACAACTTTGTTTCACGCAATCTGAACCTTATATGTTGTAATTTCATCTTTTTTCACATAATTGTGAAAATATCTCACAACTGCAACATTATTTCTTGTAATTGAGGCTTTATATATCACAATTTCAACTTTGTATCAACATTTTCCTTATTGACGCATTCCCACAAACCTCTATTATCTCATAATTTCAACTTTATTCAACAATTGCGACTTTATCACAGTTACAACTTTGTTTCACGCAATCTGAACCTTATATGTTGTAATTTCATCTTTTTTCACATAATTGTGAAAATATCTCACAACTGCAACATTATTTCTTGTAATTGAGGCTTTATATATCACAATTGCAACTTCGTATCAACATTTTCCTTATTGACGCATTCCCACAAACCTCTATCTCATAATTTCAACTTTATTCAACAACGACTTCAACAAATTTATTTATTGCACACTGTGACTTTATATCTCAATTGCGACTTATTTACCTCACAATTTCGACTTTCTTGTTTTCACGTCATTGTGACTTTATCACAATTACAACTTAATATCACACATTCTGAACTTTATGTCTCATCATTTCAACTTTATTTCTTATAACTGTGACTTTACAGTATCTCACAATTACCACTTTATATATCAAAATTTGAACTTTATATCATCATTTCTTTATTTCAACTTCATTTCTCCTAATAACGACTTTGAACAAGTCACTCATTTTCAAACAGTTGAACATTGCTACTTTGAACCCTTTGCACTTTCATTGATATCTTTTAATGGTTAAAGGATGAGTTGAGGCTGCTCTTATCTGTGACAATGCTACACTGTTGAAGGTAGCATAAGTTACGCAATTTGCTTATAATAATTACCTTGGACTGGTTTTATATTTTCCAGGGAAGTCTGTTGGCATAGTGAGCACGGCACGTGTCCAGCATGCATCACCTGCCGCCAGTTACTCCCACACCCCTGAAAGAGGCTGGTACAGCGATAAAGAGCTGACCTCTGAGGACGTCACAGGTGGATGCAAGGACATCGCGTACCAACTCGTCCATAATACTGATATTAATGTAAGGCCCTAAACCGGTAAACCTCATTGAAGTATAGATAATCAGTCGCTGACAGCAGTCTCGCTTGTGAAATCCCTCTGTTATTTTATTGTAGGTTATTTTAGGTGGCGGAAGGCAGTACATGTTTCCCAATGAAACGGTTGATCCTGAATACTCCACAATTACGGGGAGCCGACAGGACAAAACAAACCTAGTTGATGTGTGGTTAAGAAGCAGAAATGTAAGTCAAACCTCTCAAAAAATATTAAAAATGAAAATTCTGTCATCAATTATTCACCCTCATGAAGTAAAAAAAAAAAAACTAAATTATAGAACACAAAAGAAGATGTTTAAAAGAATGTCCTGGTTGCTCTTTTCCATACATTGGAATGAGGAATTTTTAGTAGAAATTCAAGTCAATATTTGTGCATATGTTTGCGAATCTCATCCACGCATATCCATATTCAGTTTGTCACAAGAATCAACCTGTCATGACAGTCGTGACATTTTACACAGTCTGTAATGCGTGACTCGAGCCATCCTTTCCCATTCCCATTCATTCCAATGGCAGATTTGGTTGGTTCACAACTCCATTTGTGCTCTATGGAAGAAAGAAAGTCTTTAGGACAACATGAGGATGAGTACATTTTGGACCAACTACACCTAACAACAAACAACCACATTTTTTTTTTCTTTAGAATGCCAAATATGTGTGGAATAAAAAAGATTTTGATGCCGTCAAAGAGGACAATACTGATTACTTGATGGGTAAGGCCTCCTCCTCCTCCATTTGGAGGGAAAACATCCACCTGTTATGTTGATCTACATCCTACAGTATAAAATTTCTGTCACCGGTTCTCAAACTTTTTGACTCCAAAGCCCCCCATTGTCCACAACAACATTCAAAGGCTCCATGACTTTTCCAGTAGCTTTAATCCTTATTAAATGTATTTACTGGACAAGCATTAAGGATAAGGATTTTTTTTAAATGTCCACCCAATCAAATATTTTAGAGTTTGGGTAGAAAAATTTAAATTTATCATAAAAAATGGCAATAGAATTTTACTGTTTTATTAATTTACATGACTCTTCCACGTCTTTTAAAATGAGGCTACCTCATGTAGGTTTTTCAAGACTCTGGGAATCCTGGTTCTTTAAAGGAAAAAAAAAAACAGTCGTTGAGAGAGGTGAAATAAAATAGGAATTCTTTTCGTTTTTTTTAGATTGTTTTAGTTGCTTTAGTTTATTTTAATGAATCTTTTTCAAAGATTGCTTGGGTACATTTTATAAGAAAATACAATTTCTACTTTAAAGTGCCCCTATTATGGATTTTTGAAAATTACCATTCATGCAGTGTGTAACACAGCTCTACGTGAATGAAAACATCCTGCAAAGTTTGAAATCTGAAAGTGCACCGTGTATAAAGTTAATGGGCCTCAATCTAAAACGAGCGCAGATCCGTGCGCACAAATCAACTTACGACAGAGTTCACGTGTGATTCATGAAACATTCGTATGCCGCCAATCTCATCATACGAATGATCGTATGTTGATAAATGTCGCGGCAGAAAACAATCGTCATTTGAATATCACGCCCCTAAAAACGCCCTGGTTTAGAAGCCACGCCCCTAGAGTTTACGACACGGAGAAACGAAACCCGGCCAAAAAGAGGAAGTAATCTCGAATAATCAAATATTTTAAATTTAATGGTATTCAGAACAGAACGAGAATGAAAAATAAGTAGTTATAAAATTATATATTAAACTATAAAATAAAACACAAACAGCATACATATGCCAATCAAAACTGAAATGGCATTGGGCTCACGAGCCTGTCTCACACCACAAGAATCCAAATGTTTCCATTTTTGCCATATTTGTAACATTTGCTTGCATAACTATTATTCATTATGTAGCCTAAACATGGCTTTATACTTCACTCATGTTCTAATATACGTGTAAAATCCTTCACATGCGCAAAAATGTTTGTTTCGGCGCTGCACGCTGATTTTACAGCGGACCTTTTAAAATAAACAGTGTTACTTTTATGTTTGGTTGACTGCATTTTAGTTTGATGATGAATGGCTGAAATGTCAGGCAACGTTAGAACTAATGTTGTTTGTGTGTGCGTGAGGCGCCTGTGTGATCAGATGGATTTAATCAAATAAAGATGTAAAGAAAAGAAATAAAATGCATTAAGAGTGTCACAAAAACGAGCGTAGCTTATACTTGTTGCACAGTGGGGGTTTTTTCCCTTTTGTTAATCTGTTAATTATATTATAGCCTGTTATATATTTTGTGTGATCCTATTTATTTTATTCATTTTATATACTTAATTTCTGTTTTTCTCCTTTCACAGAAGCGCTGCAGGTGCATGATGCGACGATTGAATCCTCA